TAACTTATTTCAGCAAACTTAATTAGTTTGCAAAGGGTGCGTAATGTGACATGTGAATTAGGATTGTTGGAGAAAGAAAAGTGGCACTCGGAACAATGAGATGAATAGCAAGGATNGACCCGGATTGTTGTTGGGGGCGATATGCTGACTCTGTAAACCGCTTAGAGTGGGCTGAAAGCCCTATGAAGCGGTATATAAGTCTAACTGCTATCGCTATTGCTATTCCTATATTCTCCAAATGGTTGGGCCTTTCCCAGGGCTTTGGTGATGCTTCATTCCTTTTTTGTGGCCCTTGGTGAATGGTTCTGACTCTCGGCTTCTTGGGGTTTCATTAAACACGTCAGCTGCTTCGCAACTTTCATCTGTGCAGTGAAACAGGGAGCAGAAACGCTTAACTAAATAAGCATCTGCCTTTTCTTCGGCGTTCTGGCGTAAGAGATTTTTTAAAAATCTTAATTGAAGAAGCTGGCAACCTCAGGGAACAAACACACAAAGGCAAGCTAATTATACCCGCCCCCAAAAAGCTGCAAGTGCCGTAGCTTTCCTTTTTAAAAGTGGAGACCAAAATATTCCAGCTTGGATTGCTTGGCGAAGGATGGCCAAAGCGACAGCTGCCCTGAAAATATGAATTATAAGGACTTGGGGAGGCCAGGATGACCTTGGTGTATTTTTAAAGCCTCCCTCTCCGGGAAGGCGAGAACGGTGAGTTCGCTTTTAATAAATGGGGAGGTGGGAGAGAGGAGGAGTGGGGGAAAGATCTGGCTTGGGATCCAGAAATCCCCTTTGGCTCCCTCCAGAGATCTTGAAACCGTTCTGGGCTCTCCTGTCCCGCTGCCTGGACTCCAGGAATGAGCAGATGCCCTCAAGCGGGAATCTCCTTGGTGAGAAGGGAAAGTTTCACCACCAACTCCTTCCTGGTTTTCCCCGGAAGGAAGGGTGGGGCCAACTTTGTAAGGTGAGGCGAATTCTTTTCCCCGCCTGCCTAATTTTGTTCAAAGGGAGGAAAAGCGAAAGGAGCACCGGAGCAGAACAAGCCCCTCCAGCGGCTCTTGAGGGTCAGCGAAGAGCCCCCTCTCTCTTTCTGGGGGCTTTGATGAGGCCTTTGTGTTCCTGCTTCCTGAGGGTTGAAAGAAAGCCCTGCAGAAGTCCTTCAAAAGGGGCTTCTGTGGGGAAAGCTGGACCTCTGGGGAGGGTCTTTAGGCAGCCTCCTCCCTCCCCCAAATATTCAAAGGGGGTTAGAACATAGCTGTGCCTCTCCTGGGCGCTCCTGCCAGTTTGCATGGTTAGTTTTACAGTTAAGGCAAATGGGGAGCCAAGGAGGAGTTCTTTCCCGAGGCCAAATTGTCAGCCTGCAGGCCTCCGAGTCTACTCGGGAGGAGGGAAATCAGATGGTGGGATTGCTGGCATGAGCGCTGCTCCTTGATCCAAGGCAAAAGGAGGCCCACGGAGGGAGGCACCCCCCCACACACACCTCCTTTCCACATGGAGGGGCTGTGGGTGCCCTCTGGAAAACCTGTTCCTGCCCTCACCAAGCAGGTTTGGGCCTCTGGAAGGGAACGCGGTGATTCAGCCACGTAATTGCAGCGTGTCAGGGTGATCCGTGGGCTTCAGCCAGGGAGCTCGGGAGATTCGAGTAACCCAACACAGCCGGCATCCTGCAGGAAGAGGAAAAGCTGAAGCCGGCATAAGGTCTCGGAGGATCTGTTGGCCAAAGCCCTCAGCCTCCCCCTGGGGAGCATCCATCCCCCTTGGGAATGGGCAGCTGCTTTGATGGGCCTTTCTGGCTGCCTGCAGGGGAGGAGCTGCACCGTCCATCCCTTCCTTGGCCTGCAGGAATCCCCACCCCCCTCCAAGTGGACGGGCGTGAAACTCCTCCAGGTGCCGACTCAGAGCCCCCAGGCTCTGCTTTCGAAGGTCTCGCAGGTGAAAAGTGGGAGGGGCTTCCACTCCCCGCAAGGATGGCCGTCCTGCCAAGTCTGGGCTGAAAGCTTTCTCCCTCCCGGCCTCCGCTTTGCCTCACCCGCTCGCCACTCTCCTAAAACCCGGGAGTGGAGCCGTCCTTTGGACTGGCAAGGGAGGGGTGGGTGGGCACAACAGCAGCACCTCCCTAGGCGCCTCCCTGCGCCCTGTGTTTGCTTTTCCAACTGGCACCCTGCAGAAACAAAGGCTTCCCCTGCGTCTCTCTCGGCCTCTGTGCAAATAAGGATGCAGGGAGTATAAAGGCAGGCAAGGGAGGACAACTGGGGGGGGGGACTCCAGAGGGTGAGGGGGCCACCCTGGAACAGCCCCACCTGCTTCCTGGTAGGTGGATCCTTTGAGCGAATGGGAGGCCCTCCTACGAACATAACTGTGAGGAGACTGACAGAGCTGGAAGAGACCTCGGAGGCCTTCTAGTCTGACCCCCTGGTCAGGCAGGGAACCCCGGTATCATTTCAGGCCAGAGGCTGTCCAGTCTCCTCTTAAAAACCTTCAGGGGCAGAGAACCCGCAACCTCTGGAGGCCTTTTCCTCACTGTTTAACGGTCCTCACTGCGAGGAAGTTTCTCCTTAGTCCCAGGTTAGCTTTCCTTCCTTTCCCTCCGTGGCTTCTCTGTTTCTCGTCCTGCCTTCAGCTGCTTTGGTGAATAGGTTGACCCCCACCCCCTTCTCTGAGACAGCCCCTCAAATATTGGAAGACCCCCCCCATGTCTTCCTTTTCATTAGACCCACCCAATTCCCGCACAAGACCCCTCACTCTGTGCTCTCAAGAGCCCCAAATGGGTCTCCCACCCCTGTTGAAAAACAATCCTGTAGTTGGTCGACATCCAGATCACTTGGATTCTTCTGCTGCCCAGTCACTCAAAGGGACAGATGGGAGGGGGGGGATTTAAGGAGATGGAAGTTCAGCACACCTGAAGGCGGGACAAGCCGACTCAGGTGAAGTTTGCCAGAGAATGGGTGGTTGTTGGCCCTTCCCTTTCGCCTCCCCTGCCATGTGGAAGATAAGCCCTTCGCTTGCACCCCCTTCCTCTCCCCCCCCCGTGGCGGTTGAATTAGCCCCACCCAAGCCTTTCATTCTTCCTTTTCTCAGATTAATCCTGTCCCGGCCCAGACATGCCTCTGTTGATTTTCATTTGTATTTCTGCATGGAACATGTCCCTAGGCCTGCTCTGGAATAAACAACACGGAACCCAGGACAGGCAGAAAGAAAGAAAGAAAAAGAAAGAAAGAAATTAATTAAGCAACAGCAGGTTGCCTACAAATCCTTCTGCACCCAGGAGAGATAACAAAAGGAGGGAGCAGAGGCTGTAGGTGCTAATAGAAAACCCAGGGTAAGAAATAGCAACTCATTTAAATACCCTTCATTCCACACCCTTCTCGTCTGTTGCAATTCACGGTCAATGGCAATTTTGAAATTCCGGTTTTATTCATGGGTTATTTTGCCCCCCCACCCCCCATAGGCGGCTTCCCTCTGGGTCAGACCCACGTTTTGCCAAGACAGGCAGGGACAGCGGCGCAGCTCCAAACTGCGCCCAGGGACTAGATCCTTGTAGGAAAAGAGAGCTCATTCCCAGAATTGCTAGGAAGATGCGGGATGAGATTTCAAATCATCGGATAGCTGCCCATTTCTTTGCTACAGGGAAAGACAAAAAGCTGGTGCTCTGTTTTATTTTTAGATTCGTATCTTGCCGCAAGCAGAACAAACAGTAATTTTGTGGTTAACTGTTTAATCCTTTGATTTGAAATCTCATCCCGCATCTTCCTAGCAATTCTGGGAATGAGCTCTCTTTTCCTACAAGGA